TCTCTCTCTCTCTCTCTCTCTCTCTCTCTCTCTCTCTCTCTCTCTCTCTCTCTCTCTCTCTCTCTCTCTCTCTCTCTCTCTCTCTCTCTACTTCTACTACTACTAACCCACTCACCTTGGTGCGATGGCGGGCGTCGGCGGGCTCGGCGGCGTTGGTGGGCGTTGGCGGAGCTCCGGGCGAAGTGCGGCGTTGGGCGGGAGGTCATGGGGGAGGGGACGAGGGCCGTGGTGGTTCCCGCCCGATTTCGAGAATTCGAAATCGGGCCTACCGGCCCTTTTTTCTTAACTGTGCTGGCCTGGACGGCCTCCTTTGGTGGGAAGACGGCCCCCCGCATCGAAAACGGCCGACTTCCCCCCCCCTTTTGGGATGCGCCGGGGTCGCCCGGCGACCACCGGGTCGCCAGGCGGAACAACCGGCCAGGCGACCYCCCCCCCCCMCCCCCCGGCGACCACCGGGTCGCCAGGCGGCCAGGGGACCAGCTTAGCTATTTGCATGTTAGTAGGTCGGTCTAGTGGAAATCATCAACTTTATAATTGTTACAATCCTGGCCAATTTCGAAGTATACATTCATCAGAAAGTACAATGCCGTCCAATTGCAAAAAGAAATGAATGAACTTGAGAGGAGAGAGAGGGAAACAAGAAGAAGAAGAAGAAAGAAAAAAGAAGAAGATGATGTACTCCAGCATAGACCAAAGATAATGCTCTTCTTCTTCGCCAACCAATCTCCTCCTCCTTATCTCCTCCCCTCTTATTCAAACAAGAAATAACAATAATCATGCTGAATGGCTGAACCAGAATCAATGTCCGAATCCCTCTTCTACTGCAGGCACAACATGAGGTCCACCATAGCCATGGCCACCCTTCTCCTTCCTCTTCATGTAGGCCGAGGCTATGGCGAACTACTGAGGGCTCAACCCTCTTGTCCAAAGGACAACCCAAAGCNCCACCCTTCTCCTTCCTCTTCATGTAGGCCGAGGCTATGGCGAACTACTGAGGGCTCAACCCTCTTGTCCAAAGGACAACCCAAAGCAGCTATGTTGCTGCCTCCCTGTGCAAAGGACAATGCAAAGCAGCTATGCCGCTGCTCATTAGGTCGCCATGCCTGTCTCTGCCCCGAGCTTCCTTGGTGCGGCACTACCCCAACTGGGGCCTTCCAAATGCAGCGCCTGCCAAGGTGATGAAGATGGTGTCCACCATAGCCAGGCAGGTACCTCGCCACTCTCCTCCTTGGTCCTCTTCTCCCTCCTCCTACCGGTAGAGCTCCACCATAGCCAAGGTGGAAGCTCCCGGCTTCTTCCTCCCAGCAGCGCTGTAGTAGCCAGCGCTCCTCCAACCAGCGCTCCAGCAGCGTGTCGCCAAACTTGCACACTGAAGAATAAGGCTGGGCTCTTCGCTCAGCCTCAAGATATAGCGGCCTACCTCCCTCCTGGGCAGGGACTTCCAGGCCGCTCGTCCTCCCAAGCAACCGGTACCTCCTCCCTTTCGGAGGGGAACATCATTACAGACTCTGATATTGCCCGTACAGGCCCTAGACTCAGACTGGATGGACTGGTACCCGCCTAGGCCTAGCCTACCGCTACTGGGTGGCTGGGCCTCTAAAAATGCTAACTTTGCTCGGCCTCGAGTACCCAGCACATCTACTTCTACTGGGTGCGGCACCGGCCTACTTGCTACTTGAGAGTGTTTCCCCTGCTGCAACCCTCAATGTCACGGCCACAAAAGTACCGACCCTCCGGACCTCCCAAACAAGCAAGTACCCTTACGGGTCACACACACACTCATGTCGACAAGCACTCAGACAGGCACGCAGGTCACCAAGCACGCACACACACAGACTTGGAAAACTTAGCAGAATACGGGAATCTCAGCAAGGTATCCATTCCATAGGCATAACTCAGAAATCACCAGTGTTCTCAGTCTGTGTTATGGCAGGTCATTACACTAACCCCCCCTCAAGAGCGAGGTCCCTTCGAGCGGGTAACTCGCTGAGAGTCCCTCCATAATGCATCATAAGCATAAATGGCAAAGAGAGATCGGGTATGTTTCGTAGGAGTGAGGGTAGCAGTGAATTTAGGTTGCTGTTTGGAGACAATCAGTCGTTCATATGTGTTGACGACTTCGGGGCACTCTGCAGCAAGTCCTTAGCAATCCAGTAAAAATCATTTAATGGGCGGTATAGAAAATGCATTTAATGGGCGGTATAGAAAATGGACTTTGTATTGTCTGTTCCTCTCTTTTCCACTGTGCTTGACAATTCTATCAATCTCGTGACCGCCATTAATTGCTCGCGGAATCATCAGTTCTCGATACCGAAAAGTTTCGGGTGGTACATACGGAATCAACTGTGACGCGTGAAAGACTGGGTAGGTGCGCAGATGAGCAGGCACGTCGATGTGTAAGAAGGACCGAATAAATCCTCCCCTACCTGGCTCAGTACTTTCCACGGACCGTAATACTGAGGAAGAAGGTTTCGTGATACACCTTCTTCTTTAGAAAACTCAAACATTTTGATCCAGACATAGCTTCCCATTGTGAAAGGTCCAGGCTGGCGCTTTTTGTTAGCATGCTTAATCATGGCACTTGGCGCCTTTCCATAGCTGCAACAACAACTTTGGCAAGCGATCAAACTTAGCGATGTAGCCTGGCTGGCCAAGTGTTAGGCCAGGTGGCTAGTCAAGAAATAGATAGGATAGGGGATTGCAAATTTGCCACCTGAGGTGCAGCCGATCCACTTCGGCCATGAGCCAAGTCCAAGAAGTGAGTACGGATAGGCTCATGGTTGGGTACACGCAGTCGGTCGTACTTCTCGTAACGTCGGAAGAGCAAACCTTTACACTCATGGAAGTCACGCTGACTGCTAGGGTCAGCGTGGATCTGCTCAAGGATGGGAATGAGTTTCGGGTCCTTGGCGGTATGCTCAACTAGTTCCTCCTTCAAATTCTTACGGAGGTCGTAGGAACCCACAAGGCAAGTCATGTACTCAGGGTAGTGGGACAAAGCATCCGCAATGCGATTGTAACACCCTTTTTTGTGTCCAAGTTTAAAATCACACACATCAATCTCATGCAGCCAGCGGGTCGATGTAGTTGATGGATTAATCTGTCTGGATCCATTTCAAAGTATCGTGGTCTGAGAACACTTTGAAATGGCGACCCAAGAGGTAATGTTTCCAATGATCTAGTGCCTCTCTCAAGGCATAGAGTTCTCGCATGTAAGTGGAGGCAGCTACCTTGTGACTGGGCATGCGTTTGTTGTCGTACTCAAGCGGACGGAAGTCGTCACCATCATCTTGCTGCAGCACTGCACCAATCCCATACAAGCTTGCATCCGTAGTTACTACGAATGTAAGTTTGGGATCTGCAATACGGAGCATCGGATAACTCACCAAAGCCTCCTTCAATGCTTGGAAGGCGGTTATGCATTCCCCATCATATGTGTAAGACACGTTCTTGCTTGTCAATTTGGACAGCGGACAGGCGATGATAGAGAATTTGGGCACAAACTTACGGTAGTACGACGTGAGACCAAGAAAAGAACGCAACTCTCAGACATTTGCCGGTTGAGGCCATTTGCAGATGACCTCAACTTTGGTTGCCTCAGACTCTAGGCCTGCAGCGGACAACCGATGTCCAAGGTAGATGACGTTGTTCGTCCCAAACTCAGATTTTTCTAAGTTGAGATGGAGTTGTGCATCCTTGAGGATCTGCAACACTTCCTCAAGGTGTCTGATGTGCTCCATCGACTTGCTAAAGATTAGTACGTCATCCAGATAAACAACAACAAATTGATTGATCTGACTGCGGAACACCTTGTCCATGAGACTCTGAAAGGTGGCTGGTGCGTTCATGAGACCGAAGGGCATGACGGTAAACTCGTACAACCCATCCTGAGTTTTGAATGCAGTTTTGTGTTGGTCAACGGGGTCTACTTCAATCTGGTGGTAACCAGACTTGAGATCGATCTTGCTGAAGACCTTGCATCCACCTGCAACATCAACCAGACCATCAATGCGTGGCAAAGGGTATGCATTCTTTCTTGTTATTCTATTCAGGCTGCGGTAATCGATACACATCCGTAGCTTGCCTCCTTTCTTAGGGACAAACAAAACCGGTGCACCGAATTCGGTTTCGCTTGGCTTGATCCACCTTTTTCAAGCATGTCATCGATCTGCCTTCGCAACTCCTCCAATTCGCTTGAGCCCATTCGCTAGACAACCCTTTGGAGGAGCGTTGCCTTCTTTCAACTTGATCTTGTGTCGGACCGGACGCACAGGAACTTCATGCGGTTCGACCAAAACTTCGGGAAATCGGTTGAGAAGGCTGCGGATCTCTGATGGGATCTCCTGAGGTGGATCATCAGGATCTAGTGCAAGCATACCGGGCTGCATAGGTGTAGCCAAAACAACAGGATTTGAAGCAGAGTCGTTTGGACTAGAAGTAAATTTAGTAGAGGTAGAAGTAGTTGCATTAGAAGTAGAAACGACATGCAAAGTAGAATCATTATGTACAACAAAAATAGAAGGCACATGAGCAGGCCTAACAAAGGCTATATACATTTGCTCATCAACTCTGCGCTTGTGCCACTTTTTGCAGAATTTCATTGCATTGAGAAAAGTCATTTGAGACTCGTGCGGCTCATCCAAGAGGCCTGAACGCTCGATGAATTGTGAGTTCTTCCACGTGGTTCTTTCACATTGGGTCTGCAACCAGCCCAAGCTATTAACTGCGTCGAAGAGGCACTTATCAAGGACATAGTTTAATTCATACGTGATTGTGCGGTCTGCGTCAAAGGTAGTGCACACCTTTGACTGCATGTGTAGATGTGACAACCTCTTGGTTGCCCACTTGGGTCCGAAAAGGATTCTGCAAAGTCACTTGCTTCATTCCCAAGCGTGCCTTACGAATGCCGTGCGGCGAGAAGTAGTTGGCGGTTGTGCCACAATCAGCCAACGTACGGATGTAACGGCTGTTAGTGCCGAGTTTGAAGAAGATCAACTTCGTTTTGCCTTGCGCGCGTTCTTGCTTCATGTGAGCCCAGCACAACAAGAGAGCATGAAAGTCAATTTCTTCCGACTCCACCCAAGGCTCCTTGTAGAGGATGTGCAATTTCCCAGCCTTGGAATCGGCATCAGATGGGGTCTCAAGAGAGGTTTGTCGAGTAGGATCAGAATCCGGTGAAGGATCTGCACTTACATGTTCAGCCTCTCCGTCTGTAGAGTGTGCTGATAATGTTTCTACCCCCTTTGCTGGTTTCCCTGCTGCAATCTGAAGCAATGTTCGACTGAGTGTTCCGATTTGGTGCAATGCAGACAAACCCCTTTCTTCACCCTGTGTTTCCACTCACTTTCACTGATCCGGAGATCTACCCATGGTTTTGTGGCAGGATCTTCCGGTTTGAGTGGAATCTTCGCTCCCTTGGGGAGGAGAATCGTGTTAGTGTTGTTCTTCAGTGCGTTCCTCGGTCCCTTACTTTTGAAAGCAGTCTTCTTAAAGGCATTCATGGATTTATCATCATCTACAGGGTCGGACTCATGGGATGGTGAAGAGCAAGATGCCTCACAGTCTTGCTCCTGATCGTCACCAAGAGAAGGATCCTCTGCGAAGGTCTCCTCGTCAACCTCAAGTTGATCGTGCGCTGCAAAACGGTTGCTGTCAGGAAACCATTTGCGGCTGGTGGTCTTTTTGCCACCCGATCCACCCGGGAGGTCTTGCGCCTCCAGCTTGACTAAATCTCGCATGAGGGAAAGCCAATCTGTATATGCTATGAGTCCGAGCCCCAGGCGATGTGTTACAGTAGAGGGAACCGTACCTTTAATCACATCCAAGCAAGACTGCGCAGTCATCTCCAGATCAGGAGTAACAAAGAGCTTACTAACGTACTGTTGCAGACTATGCACGGTGCCTGTCCACTTGCTATGCTTGAGCTTGTCAAGCTTGAGTCTAACTTTGGCTGCAGCATGCGGATCAACATATTGCTTGATCAAGAGATCCTCGATTGTGGCTATTGGCGTAGCCTTCAACCATTTGTTCATGTCTATTATTTTATAGTTGTACAACTTGGACTTCTAAGAAGCCTCTTACGGCGGATTCCACAGTGGTCCCTAGGGCCGACGACTGAGTAACCGGGGGTGTTCCCAACACACCAAAGTAGGACCGCATAGAGCTGATCCAAGATTCAATGTTGTCCTTTCCGTCGTATTTGAACGGAATTTGTGCCGCCTTTCTATCCACGTCGGGAAAGCTGCAGCTAGGACCAACGATTGCTAGGTCCGAATTCAGGGCTGCAACAGTTCCAGAATGCCCTGCACTGCCACTTGCCACAGCAGCAGCAGCAACAACGGGGTCTGGACCTACTGCAGATCCGGACAGGCTGTTGACCACACTCAAAGAAGAAGAAGAAGAAGAAGAAGAAGAAGAAAGAGGGGCAAAAACGGACTGACACGCAGCATTAGAAGCAGGGTAAGCAGATGGAAGGATACTTTGGGCCGACTGCATATTGGCAAACAGTTGCAGCTGGTCGCAGTGCTGCTGCGCCATCAGGGTCATATCCTCGCGCTTCTTGAGTTCATCAAACACCTTTGCGAGTTGGCCGGTATGGTCTTCAACAGCCCGGATATCTATTAAAGCCCTGAGAAGTGGGACAATCTTCTCTTCCACCTCAACATTGGTTAAGGCGGGCACAGTACTGAAGACGGCTTCATAAGTTTTTACTTTGTATCTCTTCTCCTTCTCCTTCTCTTCCTCTTCCCTCTTCAACACTTTTTCATAAAAGAACCGGTACTGCGTTTTTTCTGCCTCAGGGGCAACGTCCATTTGCAACTTTCATTCTATTGCAGATGCCATGATGGAGGACTAGGGTGTCAATAAGTCTCCCAAGATAGGTCCGTACTTCCTCACACTTCTGGGACGAACACTCCTCTTCCCTCTCCTCACCCCCTCAAGCGCAACACTTTGAAGCTTCTCTCTTCTCTCTTTCTCTCTCGTTTGCGATCGTGTAGACGCAGGCATTTAACGAACCCAATGAAAGAAACAGTTTGAAATCAATTAGAAGAGAAGGTAGAACTCCTAGCCGAAGCAACAATTCATTCGGACTGGAGAGCTGTAATGAACCCAGATCGTGAGACAGTTGTCAACAATGCAAGTCCATAAAAATGTCCATCGGCTAATAGTAAAAAATCGTGATAAGACAGAATGAGATGAGATATCATACACAGACGAAGAGGGAGGAGGGAGAAGAGAAAGGAGAGGAAGTAAAAATGCCCACTCCTGCTTCGGGCTCCCTCCTCTACTGCCACCTCATCAATCAATAGTCTGAATGAGTATCCGAGTATCCTCAATGTGCCGCGTGGCACGACTAATCAGTTCCACATCAGCATCTGGAGCAATGTCGACATGAAGACCACCAGGTACGTATCCTCGAACTCCCCCCACAGTCCTGATCTCCTTTGAAGTGACGACGAACAGAACAGCAATGCCGAATATGTAGTCTCAGTCACAGAACACGTGGACAGCAGCCACGTCAGCATGATACACGTGGCAGCAGCCACATCAGCGAAGGTGCATGGCAGCTGCCACGTCAGCAGGCCAAGAAGACAGGAGCAAGCCGGCCACCATGCCGGAATAGCAGCACCTCGCCAAGTCCCAATGACAGCAGCGTCGAGCCAGCGTCGCAGCGTCAAGCCAGCGTCGAAGTCAATGCGTGAAGTCAGCATCAACGCAAGACAGAATGAATGTCAAAGCAAGGAAGTCAACTCTTATGTAGTGTTGACGTGGGGTCTGGACCCCGGATGCTGTATCGCTCGGTCGTCCAGATCTCAATGCGAATGAGGGCTCAGATCGGCCTGAAACCGAATTCCCTCCGGCTTGGATGCTGTCTGGGTACCTGCGCACAACAAGTGAGTGTATCCAACCCAGGGCCTGGGTGCGGTACCTTTGACTCTACAGTTGACTTTGACTCTTGAATTTCCTGTGTGCAGCGTGCGGTCACAAAGCCACACTCGATAGGCTCAGGCCTGGGCGTGTCTTGGTCACACAGCCCAGCGCAGACCTTCTCAGGTCTGCGTGGCCTGGGGCTAAGTTGTGAGCCCCAGGCTACTTCTAAACAGGGTTATTACAGAGCAGTCAAAGCAATAAAAAAGATAAAGATCAAAGAGATCTGATTCCGCCACACAGTGTGGTCTGACTACGTATGAGGTGCTCTCAAGCCTAGCCGGACTCAGCTCCGTGAAGATGCAGCAAATCAAATTCAAAGTGTACTACGCAATGCAAGAGAGAATTGAGTGGTGTCCAAGTTGCGAGTCCGGCGGCTGATCGTGCGGTGAAGTCCGTTAAAACGTCTCATCTGAGATCCCCTCAGCAGCGAGTGTCCTGGTCCGAAAGCATGAACTCCGAGTCCCAATCAGATAGAGCGAGGTAACTGACGTCAACAGATTTGGGCCTGGTCCCAGTGAGTCCCAAATGGTCCCAGTGGAGTCAGAACCGGGTCCCAACCAACAAGAGTTCCACAAAGACCTACTTTCTGCCCCTACCGAATTGAAAAACGAAATGTAGCCCCAGAAAGAACCTACAGACTACAGCCGTTCAAAATGAAATAAACACAGCACTGTAGAAAGATATAGCATGGCACGCAAGATACTCCATTCATTCACTCGCCAGGTGAGTAAGTAGTTCACACACCTCACACAAGATCAAGACTATGGAGGATGGAAGAAGAACCCATAATGCCCCAGTAGGCAGTCAATTCCATGCACACACACATGGGCACCCTTGCGGCACGACACTTACCTGAGTGGCCGGGTTCTTGAGATGAAAGAAACTCACCCCCGTCTCACACGGTCCTCCTGACCCAATTAGCATCCTCTACACTAGTGTCCTATCATCTAGGAGGGTCAACATCTACCCCAAAGTACAACGCCGGATCCCCTGCCGATGTTGAAGATCAAAGTAGCAACTTGCAAAGTCCATAGGTGCAGATATGGCTGCCACCCTCAAGCTCGCCTAACTTGAGGGGAGCCCTAAAGTCACTCTCGTCTTCCTTGAGGTCCAGATTCCAGTTGTAGGTGCCCTTCACTGTCGCCTCTCTCCAATTGCATCACGATGTCCCACCTTGTGTCTCGCCACCACAAACACGCACTCTTGCAACCTGTCCGGGTCTAATGTTGACCCTACACGGCCCTGCCAGGTGGGCGCAATTTCCCTTTACCATGCTGCCCCACTTAACCCTAACCCTAAGTGGTTAGCCCTTACCACTTAGGTTAGGGTTATGGCGGCAAAGTCAACTCTCGCCAACAAGTAGAATCCGCTTCGATACCAATGTTACAAACCTGGGCAATTTTGAAGTATACATTCATCAGAAAGTACAATGCCATCCAATTGCAAAAAGAAATGAATGAACTTGAGAGGAGAGAGAGAGAGAGAAGAAGAAGAAGAAAGAAAGAAGAAGAAGATGATGTACTCCAGCATAGACCAAAGATAATCCTCTTCTTCTTCGCCAACCAATCTCCTCCTCCTTATCTCCTCCTCTCTTATTCAAACAAGAAACAACAATAATAATGTTGAATGGCTGAACCAGAATCAATGTCTGAATCCCTCTTCTACTGCTGGCACAACATGAGGTCCACCACAGCCATGGCCACCCTTCTCCTTCCTCTTCATGTAGGCCGAGGCTATGGCGAACTACTGAGGGCTCAACCCTCTTGTCCAAAGGACAACCCAAAGCAGCTATGTCGCTGCCTCCCTGTGCAAAGGACAACGACAAGCAGCTATGCTGCTGCTCATTAGGCCGCCATGCCTGTCTCTGCCCCGAGCTTCCTTGGTGCGGCACTACCCCAACTGGGGCCTTCCGGATGCAGCGCCTACCAAGGTGATGAAGATGGTGTCCACCATAGCCAGGCAGGTACCTCGCCACTCTCCTCATTGGTCCTCTTCTCCCTCCTCCTCCTGCTGGTAGAGCTCCACCATAGCCAAGGTGGAAGCTCCCGGCTTCTTCCTCCCAGCAGCGCTGTAGTAGCCAGCGCTCCTCCAACCAGCGCTCCAGCAACGTGTCGCCAAACTTGCACACTGAAGAATGAGGCTGGGCTCTTCGCTCAGCCTCAAGATATAGCGGCCTATCTGCCTCCTGGGCGGTGATTTCTAGGACGCTGGCCCTCCCAAGCAACCGGTACCTCCTCCCTTTCGGAGGGAAACATCATTGCAGATTCTGATATTGCCCATACAGGCCCTAGACTCGGACTGGATGGACTGGTACCCGCCTAGGCCTAGCCTACCGCTACTGGGCCTCTAAAAATGCCAACTTTGTCTTCTTCTGCTCGGCCCAGAGTACCCGACACATCTACTTCTATTGGGTGTGGTACAGGCCTACCTGCTACTTGAGTGTTTTTCTGCTGCTCCAAGTGCAGCGGGCCTCTGGCTCCGCCACTTGAGTGTTTCCCCTGCCGCAACCCTCAATCTCACGGCCACAAGTTAGTACCGGCCCTCTGGGCCTCCCAAACAAGCAAGTACCCTTACGGGTCACACACACACTCATGCCGACAAGCACTCAGACAGGCACGCAGGTCACCAAGCACGCACACACACCGACTTAGAAAACTTAGCAGAATGCGGGAATCTCAGCAAGGCATCCATTCATCAGCAGAACTCAGAGATCAGTTGTGTTCTCAGTCTGTGTTATGGCGGGTCATTACATAATGTGTTAATAACAACTCTGTTATGATCCTGGCCAATTTCGAGATACACATCCATCAGATAGTACAATGCCGTCCAATTGCAGAAAGAAATGAATGAGAGAGGATTAGAAGAAGAAGAAGAAGTGAGAAAGAAGAAGAAGATGATGTACACCAGCGCAGACAAATGACAAGGCTCTTCTTCTTCGCCCAACAATCTCCTCCTCCTTATCTCCCCCTTCTCTTATTCATACAAGRAATAATAATACAATGTTGAATGGCTGATCSAKAATCAATGTCCGAGTTCCTCTTCTWCTGCAGGTATCACTTGAGGTCCACCATAGCCATGGCCGCCTCTCCCACTCTTCACTCTCATAGGCCGAGGCTATGGCGGACTACTAGGCCTTGCCCAGAT